CATATCAGAACACTACATATCCTATCTTTAAAAATGATGACAAATTATTAACCCATATTGAATTTGTGGTCTGCTGTAACTCCTTCTCTACAATGCTCCTGTAGAGAAACTGCCTAGCCAGCAGTTTCCCCATTTGTTTCCATGTTTGTTTTGGTTTGGTTTCTTTAGAAGAAGACCATTGTGCTTGTTTCTATTGATTTGTCCTCATTTCTTTTGTATCAGGTCTCTAATTTATCCAAATCTTTGAGTCCTACATTGGTCCTTTGGAACTCTTGCAGTTCCTCAAAGCATGGTGTTATCTGTAAATTTTCTAAGCATTTTAGATAATAATTTGCCATCCAACTTAAATTAGCTCAAGTTAGTTCAGGATAAGCCCTTGCAGGGCTTATTTGTCTAGTCCTCTCAGACTGACAGTGATCTTGGGAAAACTGCCCTTTGTGTAGTGGTTGCATCTCTTGCATGCTCATTTTATGGTGATTTCAGCTAAGTGCTCTTTCACTTGTTTGCTTATAAGGATGTCTCATGTGACAGTATTAAAAGTATTAATTACAGCAAACTATAGCGCACTATTGTTTCTTTGTTACTCCCTCAGCCTTGAAGTACAAACTAGATTGATCTGCCAAGAATAAATCAGTCATATCAATGTCAGCTGTTCTTGACAGCTTAGTAGCCTTCTGCTGATGTTTCAATTGCTTTCTTTAAAACTTTTTCGGTATGGCTCTAGTATCTTCTCTAGGTGCTCACATGGGAGGCCTGGCTTCTAATTGCCTTGATCTTCCTTTCCTAGACACAGAGAGGCAGTACTTGCTTTTCTTGCCCTCTGACACGTTTCCCCATACTCTCAAAGGTAATTACTGAGGGTTTGGATCCTTAACCAGTAACTCGATTGACTGTAACTAACCTAAATAGTCTTCACTCCAGTCTTTCTCTACTCTGACCTGTTCTCTTTTCCCAGTGCATAACACTACTGCAGTGAGTATCTGTTAACTTTTCTCTGTATAGAAAGAAATGACATTTGACATGTCCTCTGTCAATTGCTGTCCTTCTTTAAAGAGCAGACCTACTGTTTTTTGTTATTCTTACCCTTAATGTGTTTATAATAGCCTTTTCTTACCTTTTGTGTCTCATAGTGGCCTATTGAGTAAACCTTCCAACTGGAAAATTAGTTGCTACTAGATAATCCTTGTTAGGCACCTCTGTTTGTAAAGGAAGAGATGATCTGAAGTATTTCTATTCACTTGTAAAAAGCTGGGCTTTCACTTGTGGAAACGAAGGGTTCAGCATTTCTAAAATTTTGACTTGATTTAGGTTTAGAGTCTCCCAATTTTCTGGCAGAGAGAAATTGGATTAATTTTAAGGAACTATGTGTTTATGTAGTACAAGAGGAGAGTGGACAACTGCACTCAGCTCAGTACAGCACAAGAAATGTGACTGTTATGTTATCAAATGAATTGGCAAGGGAAGAAAAAAAGCACAAATGTGAAATAACAATGGGAAGAGAATAAATCGGTAACATGGAAACCAGCTATGAGGCAGGCTGGATGGCATTTCTAGCTTGAGTATCTGCAGTTCAACCTAAGTAACTGTATTAGAGGTATTTTTCCTGAAATACCTATGTAACTTAGGATCCAACATCAGCTTTACCTCAAAGGAATCCCAGTCTTCCTGAACAACAGGGTTGAAGTGTTTAAGTGCCTTTGACTTTTAATAAAGAGATTTTAACACCTCAGTTGTGTGCTTTTGAAAATGCTTTTCAGGTGTTCCTTTTTCTGAAAATTTTGTATTTGTATTCGTCTTCCATTATATTAAAATGAGATAAAAATATAATCAGTGAATGGCAGAATTTCCTGGGAAAAACCAAAAAGAGCCCCGTATCGGTGATGCATAAGGGAATACTGCCAACAAAAAGAGGCAGTCTTTTTTTTTTTTTTTTTTTTTTGGCTGGGGTTAAAAAAAGGCATACTGCTTTTAGGCTTTGGTTTTCTGTGTGTGGGTTTTTTTTTTTGTTTTTTTTTTTTTTTTTATCTGCTGCAGACAAGAGGTCTCAGACAGCCCCTGTGAAGGAAGACTGTTATAAACTGAAATATTCTCTTCCTTCCTCCGGAGATTCCACTGGCAAAGCAATTCTGATAAAGTTTCCTCCACTCGACTTCAGAGCTTCTGCCATGACAAGGATGAGCATTTACCAGTAGGAAGCTCATAAAACGACTTGCAAATGTGAATATCCAGGAAAAGGTGTAGAATTTTCTGCCTCCTGGCTCCAGAGAGGATATAAACTATTCCAGAGTTGTCTATACTTTTTCTGTGTATACAATTATAACAGCTGATCAATGTTTTAGAAAAAAAATAAGGCTGCCCTATCAAAACTCATTATCATTAGTTTGTATTAGGAGAATGTTTACAGAACGCCTGTGAAATTAGGCCCTGCTGCATGATGTACTGTACAGGTGCATTAAAAGTACCAGCCTCTGTTAGGAGGATTTACAACCTGAAGAACACCGACAGAGAAAGGTTGGCGGACAGGGAATGTTTTCACTCCCAGTTGACAGATGAGCAGCTGAGGCTAAGGAATAGCAGTCCTGATCTGATGCTACCTGGAAGTCTCTGGAAGTCTGGTTGTTCTAAGCAAGGCTGGCCCAGGCCTGGGCTTGCAAAATGAGTCTGTGACATAGCCAAGAGTAAACCTCAGCTTTCCAGAGTTTGTTAATGGTTGGTATGTGTTTCTAGCTTTGCTAATTCACACCTGCTAAAAAGCATCCCTTTCCC